ATCAAATTTTTTTTGGGGCAAAAGATAATCACAATTTGAAACAAGAAAAAAACTAACAAAAACAAATTTTGGGAGTTGCTCCTCGAAATACAATGGGGTTTCCTTCCAAAAAACCCATTTTTAAAGTTTAATATTAATTTATACAAATAAGTAAATAATTAAGGGCACTTCAAGATTTTATTTTTTGCAATGTTACACTGTGTATTACAATTTTGATTTTTTAAGTACAAAGAAAGTCACCTATCATGGGCCCGGGGGTTTGGGACTAAACCCCAAAGCTTAATTCCCCTTAATGCTAGAAATATTTAGGTTGTAAAAATTTTTTTATACATCGTTTTTTCTTTTTACAATTTAAAAAGTGAAAAAACAAAAAATTTTCTGGGAAATTTACGGAATTTTGGGATTTAAATTTCGGTATTTAAAACCCCGGATGTTTCAGGGCCCCCTCTGAAAAGTCCTTTAATTTTCGCCCAAAAATTCAAAAAAAAAAAATTTTTTTTTTTTGGTTGGGGGTTTTGGTTTTTTTTGAGGGGGTTTTGGCAAAAAAAATTTTGGGGGAAATCGTTTTTTGGTTAAAGGGGGGGGGGTTTTTGGTGAGGAGGGGGTTTGGGGGAAAAGCGGATGGCCGCTATCCCGGGGGAAAATTTAGGGGGGGTTTTATTGGGGGATTTGGGGGGAAGGGGTTTTTTGGGTTTTTTTATAATTTTTAATTTTAAATTTTTTATGTTTGGTTGGGCCTGTGGGGGGGGTTTTTTTAAATTTTTACCAAAATTTTGGATCCTAAAATAAAAGATTGTTTAAAATTGTTTAAAAAAAAAACAAAAAAAAATCAGATAATAATTATCTATATATATATAAAATAAAATTCCGGGGGGGGGGTTAAAAAAAAAACCCAAACCCAAAAAAAAAAAACCCCCAAAAAAAATCCAACCAAAAACATAAATAATTAAAAATCAACCTTTCCCCTTTTCCTCCCCCAAAAAAACCCCCCTTCCCGGCCCCTCCCCCCAAAACCCTCCCCCCCCCCTCCTCCCTTTTCCCCCAACCTCACCTTCCTCATAAATTTCCCCTCCCTCCTCCCAACCCCCCCCCCTCCCCGGCCTCCCCTCCCCCTTCCCCTTCCTCCGCCCCCCCTCCCCCTCCTCCCCCTCCCCCCCTCCCCTCCCCGCCTCCTCCTCCCCCTCCCCTCCCCCCTTTCCCCCTCCCCTCCTCCTCCCCTCCTCCTCCTCCTCCTCCTCCTCTCCCTCCTCCTCCTCCTCCTCCCCCTCCCCCCTCCTCCTCCTCCCCCCTCCTCCTCCTCCTCCTCCTCCCCCCCCTCCTCCTCCTCTCCTCCCCCCTCCTCCTCCTCCCCCTTTCCCCCTCCCCTCCTCCTCCCCCCCTCCCCTCCTCCTCCTCCCCTCCCCTCTCCTCCTCCCCTTCCTCCTCCTTCCTCCTCCCCCCCTCCTCCTCCTCCTCTCCTCCTCCTCCTCCCCTCCCCCCTCCCCTCCTCCTCCTCCTCCTCCTCCTCCCCTCCTCCTCCCCCCCTCCCCTCCTCCTCCTCCTCCTCCCCCTCCTCCTCCTCCTCCTCCTCCTCCCCCCTCCTCCTCCTCCTCCTCCTCCTCCTCCTCCTTTCCCCCTCCCCCTCCTCCCCCTACTCCCCCCCTCCTCCTCCTCCTCCCCTCCTCCCCTCCTCCTCCCCTCCTCCTCCTTTTTTTTTCCCTTTTTTAATTTTTTGGGCCTTTTCCTATTCCTTTTCCTTCCCCCCCACCCCCTTCCTCCCCCTTTTCCTTCCCCTCCCCCTTTCCCCCCCTCCTTCCCCCTTTCCCCCTTTTCCTTTTTTCCCCTCATTTCCCCCCTTTTTTTCCCCCCCCCCCCTCCCCCTTTCCCCCTTTTGGGGGCCTTCCGGGCCCGGTCCCCCCTTTCCCGGGTTTTAATTTGGGGGGTTTTAAATTTTTTTCCTAAGCCCAAGGAAATGACAAAGTCTATTACTCCCATTAAATTTTTAAAACGGGGTTGAACGTCTTCCCCCCCCCCTCTAAAAAAAAAGCCCCCAATTTAACCCAAAAGTTGCGACAGGCTGCCAGCGTTTTTTAATGTACACAAAAAACCCAAAAAGGGGGAATATGTAAATTACCCCCCTTTTTGCCCACAAATCTGAAATTCTTAAATCGGGTTAAATTTTAAAAATTTTCCGTCTTTTGGGGGGACTTTTTTTCTTGGCCAAGGGACAATTTAAACAAAAATCCCTTTTTTCCCCCTTCTTTTTAACCCCTCCTTTCCTTTTCTCCTCCTTTCTTTTCCCCTTTTCCTTTTCCCTTTAAATTGGCTTTTTTTTCCTTCAAACGAAATTATCTTCCTGCCCCCTTCCTTTTGTTTCTCCTGGGGAAGTTCCCGTTTTTGGGTTGGGAATTCCCCTTTTTCCCCCCTTTCCCCCTAGCAAGGGGGGGGGAAAACCCCAATTAAAAATGGATTCCCACAATTCCCAACCAAAATTTGGGGGTCCCCGGGTTTTTTTATTTTGGTTTTACCCTGACCCTGGGAAAAAAACCCAAATTCTTTTCCCCCAGGGGCCACCGCTTTCCCCTTTTTTTGATTTGAAGGCCCGCCTAGAATTTTAATTGGCCCAATTTTTTTTTTAAATTAAAGGGGAGAAAAACCCTTTTGGCTCCTAAAACTATTTTTTTCGTAAGACGTATTTATACGTGGGAAACATCAAAGGGGTTTAAAAGGAGGAAAATGCCGGATTAACAAAACTGTTGTCCCGGGGGGGCTGAGGAAGGGTTTTTTGAGGTGGTTTTTGGACATTTTTTAAGAATGGAGCAAAAAAGAAAGACTTTTAAGGGGGTTTTAGTTGTAGTGGAAGGGAAAGGGGGGTAGGGGTCAGCCTTTTAAAGGTTTTAGGGAGGGGGGAAAAGGGGTTTTGTTTGGGTAGGGGCTTTGGGCTTCCCGCAGGCCCTCGTGAAAAATGTTTGAAGGAGTGAATGGAGGAAAAAAGGTTTTTTAAAACTTTTACGTGCTGGGGAGGGGAGCCCAAATAACATTTATGAAGGGTTCAGGGAAACCCGGCAGGCCCCGGGCTTGAGTCCGGCCCGGGGATGGGGAAAACAGTGCCCGCACTCTGAAAGGGGGGTGGGGGGGGTTGGGAGGTTTTTAAAAACTGTATTTTAAAGCCCCTTCTGGCAAGACATATTGGGGGGTAATGATGGGGAAAGTTTTTTTTTTTTTCAGGGCCCCCGGGCCTTTGGGGGGAATGGGAAAGGGTTTAAAAAAAAAAAAAAAAAATTTTTTCCTATCAATAAAGTACATAAGAATTTGCTTCACTATTGCCCCCAGTGTAAATTAAAACCCAATGCTTAAAATCTTCCTTACCAGTTCTTTCTTATTCTTTTTGTTTGGGCATCATGTTTTTTTCTTCATATAACCACAAGGGGAAAGTTTAATCATGGACCCCAAAAAAAAATAGTATGTGGATGCCAAGATGATTAAGCTTCAAATTCTTTCAAACAATTTTTAAAAAAATGGGGAAATAAATATCTTCAAGGGGCTTGGGGTAATGGGGAAAGGGATTTTCTTTTATCTAAAAAATCATCCAAAAAAAAACCAAGGGGAACAAAAAATAAAACTTTACCCTTTTTTTTGTCAATTTTAACTAAAATATTTAAAAATTTACTGAAAAGTTTAATTTAGGGAGAATTGGGTTTGGGTTTTCTAAGTTTTAGAAGCTTCCCTTTTACCAAAAAAAGACGATTTTAAATGGGTATGGTTTCTAAGTTAGATTTCTTCCCGTACCAATGCAAAAAAAACGATTTTTAAAAAGGGGTAAGGTTACTAAGTTCAGAATGCTTTTTCCCGTACCAATGCAAAGACGGGTTTAAAATTGTGTATGGGTTTCTAAGTTCAAAAAGGGTTCCCTTTTCCAGGGAAAAAAATTTTAAATTTGGTTTTAAAGGTTACTATTTTAGAAAGGGGTTTCCCCGTCCAAAAAAAAAGACGATTTTTTTTGGTGTTTGGTTACTAAGTTCAAGGGAAAGCTTCCCCGTACCAAATGAAAAAACGAATTTAAAAAGGGAATGACACATCAAAAGCATTGTTTTTGAAGCGGTCTGGGGGCAAGGGTGAAACAGGGTAATTTAAAACCTTAAATTTAAAACTGTAAAGAAGTACAAAAAGGAGAAAAATTTTTTTTTTATCAAACACAAATGGGGTGATTAACCCCCAAGGCAGGGGGGCCCGAAAAAGAAAAAATTTCCCATTTATTCACTCCATCCCCCTGTCTTGCCAGAAAAGGGGGTTTTTTTCACTACAGTTTTTAAAATGCAACCCTTTAAAAACCCCCCCTTCAGATGCAGGCAAGTACGTCCCTCTTTCCAAAGGGCTCAAGGTTTCCGGGGGCCCCCGGGTTTCCCCGAAACCCCTTTATAAATGTTACTTTTTCTCCACCTCCAACAGCACGTCCCAAGTATTTAAAAAACCCTTTGTCCCCCATTCACCTTTTCCCATTTACCACACACTCACGCATGGGGCCCGCTGGAAAAATCCCCCAAACCCCTCGCACAAAAAACCTCCTTTTCCCCCTCCCTCCCAACCTTTCCAATTTTCCCGGGCCCCAAAACCCACCTTTTTCCACTACAGACTGGATAATAAATTTTCCCATTTTTTTAAAATACAGCAAAATGAGGCTATATTTTTTATATGACCAAGGTGCTAAAGCAGAAATAAACACATGCTTCTCTTACTAGGAAGGGAGTTTTCTTTGGGTTACCCTGCCTTGATGAAACAAGGTCATTAATGTTATAACAAAAATCCCAATGAGCATAAAACAATACAGTGAGGTAACTGGTTTACATCACTAACAAATAAATTATCTCCATTTTGCTGATTTTTCTGTTGCTCCTGTTGCAGTCCCTATTTGGCATATGAAGCACTATCACAATAATGCATAAAAATGAAGTCTTAATTTTCTCTATTTTATGTAGAATCTACCAAAAGGTTTATAATAACAGCTAAAGGTTTTTCCCTAC